GGAAGATGATGAGAAAAAAAGAAGAATGGGGGGAAGATGATGAAGAAAGAAGAAAGGGAAGAAGAAGAAGAAGGAAGAAGAAGAAGAAGAAGAAGAAGAAGAAGAAGATGAAGAAGGAGAAGAAAAGGGAAGGGGAGGATGATGAGAAAAGAAGAAAAAGGGAAGATGAAGAAGAAGGAAAGGGAAGAAGAAGAAGAAAAGAGGAAGAAGAAGAAGAAGAGGAAGAAGAAGAAGAAGAAGAAGAAGAAGAGGATGAGGAAAGGGAAGAAGAAGAAGGGAAGAAGAAGAAGTGAGGAAAGGAAGAAGAAGAAGAAAAGAAGAAGGGGAAGAAGAAGAAGAGGAAGAAGAAGAAGGAAGAAGAAGGAGGAAGATGAAGGAAAGAAGAAGAAGAAGAAGAAGAAGATGAAGAGAAAGAAGAAAGGGGAAGATGATGAGAAAAGAAGAAAGGGAAGGAAGAAAAAAGAAGAAAGGGAAGGAAGAAGAAGAAGAAGAAGAAGAAGAAGAAGAAGAAGAAGAAAGGGGAAGAGGATGAGGAAGAAGAAGAAGAAGAAAGGGGAAAGATGAAAAGAAGAAGAAAAAGAAGAAGAAAAAGGGGAAGAAGAAGAAAGGGAAAAGAAGAAGAAAAAGGGAAGATGAAGAAGAAGAATAAAGAAGAGGAAGAGGAAGAAGAAGAAAGGGAAGAAGAGGGAAGAAGAAGAGAAGAGGAAGAAGGAAGAGAAAGAAAAGAAGAAGAAGAAGAAGAAGAAGAAGAAGAAGAAGGGGAAGGAAGAAGAAGAAGGGAAGGGAAGGAAAGGAAGAAGAAGAAAGGGGGAAGATGAGAAGAAGAAGAAGAAAAAGAAGAAGAAGAAGAAAGAAAGAAGAAGAAGAAAGAAGAAGAAAAGGGAAGATGAAGAAAGGGAAAAGAAGAAGAAGAAGAAGAGATGTGGAAAAAAGAAGAAAGGGGGAAGGGGAGAAGAAGAAGAAGAAGAGTGAAGAGAAGAAGAAGAAGAAGAAGAAAAGAAGAAGAAGAAAGGGAAAGAAGAATGAGAAGAAGAAGAAGAAGAGAAGAAGGAAGAAGAAGAAGAAGAAGAATGGGAAGAGAAAGAAGAAGGGGAAGAGAAGGAAGGAAGAAGGAAAAGAAGAAGAAGAAAGGAAGAAGAAGAAGAAGAAGAAGAAGAAGAAGAAGAAGAAAGGGAAGATGATGGAAAGAAGAAGAAGAAAGGGGAAGATGATGAAAAAGAAGAAAGGGAAGAAGAAGAAAAGGAAGGAAGAAGAATCAGAAGAAGAAGAACAAGGGGAAGAGGAAGAAAAAGAAGAAGAAAGGGGAAGAGGATGAGAAAAGAAGAAGAAAGGGGAAGAGGAAGAAGAAGAAGAAGAAGAAGAAAGGGAAGATGATGAGGAAAGAAGAAGAAGAAGAAAGGGAAGATGATGAGAAAAGAAGAAAGGGAAGATGATGAGAAAAGAAGAAAGGGGAAGATGAAGAAAAGAAGAAGGGAAGAAGAAGAAGAAGGTGGGAAGAAGGAAGAAGAAGAAGAAGAAGAAGAAGAAGAAGAAGAAGAAAGGGGAAGATGATGAGAAAGAAGAAAGGGAAGATGATGAGAAAAAGAAGAAAAGGAAGCGAAGAAGAAGAAAAGGAATGGAAGAAGAAGAAGAAGAAGAAGAAGTAGAAGAAAGGGGAAAGATGAGGAAAGAAGAAGAAGAAAGGGGAAGATGATGAGAAAGAAGAAAGGGAAGAAGAAGAAGAAAGGGAAGCGAAGAAGAAGAAGAAGAAGAGGAGGAAGAAGAAGAAGAAGAAAGGGGAAGAGGATGAGAAAAAGAAGAAAGAAAAGGGGAGAGGAGAAGAAGAAGAAGAAGAAGAAGAGGAGGGGAAGAAAGGGAAGGAAGAAGAAGAAGATGATGAGAGAAGAAGAAGAAGAAGAAGAAGAGGATGAGAGAAGAAGAAGAAGAAGAAGAAGAGGAGGATTACCTGCTCTTCCAATCGACAATATGTTTGTCTTATAAATAATAATGCTGATCCCAATAGCGTGATATATTACTTGCAATCTGTCCTCTTTTATTCTGGCCAACGAATCCCAATAGGAAGGCATAACGATAAATATCTTATTCGAGGCGTTGAATCAACAGAAAACTGACCGACGGCTTGTCTGTTCTACCGATAAGGCGAATAAACTAAGACAACCTCAAATGAACGTCGGGTTGCTATAGACAAACGTCTCGTGAGTGGCCGATAAGAATGTTTTTCTTTCGAGGGGGAAATGAATTTGCTGTTTTGCCTTTGTGGGGAACGATCGTTGCTGGAGTATCAGGCAACGAAGGATCAACCTGATATTCAAGGAGGACATATGGAACCATAATTATTATTATTATTATTCAAGGGTACAACACACCAACAAAGTGATGCTGGAGTACAAACATACACAATCAGATCTAATAAGGGTATACAAGGCTCATGGCTCACAGCCAAACCTGAACGAAATTATGACAAGATGTCATTAAATTGTTATTATTATTATTATTGCAC